GTTTCTAAAGATTTAAAAAAAGCAATTTAATTTCAGCACAAATTATACATTTTGGTGGTTGTTAAGAGAAATAAGGTCACTTTGACAATATATGAGTTAGCCTGGCTCAGTTGGTAGCACTCTCGTCTTTGGAGTCAGCAGACTGTGGTTTGAAGCCCCATATCAAGAACTTTTGAACTCGTAGTGCAGGCTGACACTTCAATGCAGTACGGAGGGGGATTGTTGCATTGTAGTTGGTGAAGTCTTTCAGATGAGATGTAACCCGACTGCCTGTTCAGGTAAACATTAAAGATCTTATGGCACTATCTGAATAGAGAATGGGGTTTCTCCAGGTGTTCTAGCCAACAATCCCCAATAAAATTGGCCATTCACTTCATTGTGAAGCCACAATTACCCTCAACACAGTCACTACCCTTTACTGCCGCCCTTCAAACTTTTATTTATATATTTTTAATGCATTTGTTTTTAGATTAATAGAAATGAAAGAGAAAGGCTCATCACCATCTTCTCAAGGCAACTAAATAAATCCTGGCAAAATGCCAACACACCCCAAGACTGAGTCAAGAAAATATTGCTAAGAAGTGGAGAGTTTTAATATGCAGGCTCAGGGCATGAGTTGAAAACTTACAAAAACCTAATGGATTAGGAAGACTGTCATTTCCCTAGATCTCACTTCCTTTCCTAATTTTAAAGATATTTTAGTGTTCCATTCCCTGACCCACAGGTTTGGCAAACAGACTGTTCCACCACTTGTATCCTTGTATCTCTTGAACCAACCACTTGATTGATTTCCATCAATACCTAATGGAAACTCTCTGCCAAGATATCTAGTGAAATCAGAGCTCAGACCTTGTTAAAATTTCAGATGCCACCTGCGTTTGTTTGGCCACTCATTGGTTTAGCGAGTCGGGTGATTGTACAACTTCTTTCCTGATTTGGAACTTTTTAAATTAGCTTTTTCACCATCCAGAACACCATTCCACAGCCAAGACAGGAGCTAGTTGATATCCTCCCAGGCTTCTGCTGAAGCTGCTAGGAGGTAAACAAGACTGGGCTTGTGAGCCTCCAATTTTCTATCTCTACTTCTTTTCCCCCCTCCCCAACCACCACTAGGAAGTACCCACTGGTCTCCACTCTACATCCTACCATCCCGGGATCCCTCTTCACTACAGACTAGAGCAAAGCTTTGCTGTAAAGAAAATGAGGTTTGTGTGCCCACATTTTTACATCTCTGTGGCACACATACTTGATATGCAATCTCACTGTGCCACCAAACTGACCACATATTAAATAAACTGCACCTGAAACCCATTGCTTCATAAAACATCCACATTCCTTTTTATATAAATACACTTCATAGCAACCTATACATCTATTCCTTTACATCTAGCGTATGTATACCTGTGGTAGTTCAGTACTGAAATGTATCTATTACTTGGCTCTATAATATTAGATATTCATTCTTTTGAGTCCAAAGCAAGGTCATTGTCAGTGTATTCAGAGGGGATGCAGTGGCAAGCCAGGGAGCTGGTAGAAACACAGGAGGAACAAGTTGACACAAAGGAAAAAGTGAGCCACTATAGGCAAAACTACATAAATGTAAAAAGCTCATAATCACAGGAGAAGAGTTTCACCTACAGATATCCAATATTTGCCATTCCCAATAGATCCAGTTTGCTATTGTTAAATTGAGCCCAAAATAGAGAAGTTGCCAAGTTTGGTCCTGTCAGCTGAGGCAATGTTAGGAGGGCTGCAACTGGCCTCCGTGCCCCTAGGATAGGGGAATAAATCAGGCAGGCTTGTAACTTCTGATTACTATCCAGAGTCTCCCTCTCCCACCCCACACACATACACACACAATCCATGGATTGGTCTTGTTTGTGATGACCCCCGTGACTGCCTGGCCTGCCTGCTCCCCACATGAAGAATGCAGACTAGAATGATATACCAGAGGGTGATCACTGACTGGATTGTACCCAAGTCTGAGTTGGTGCCTCAGGAGAAGAGAAGGAGGTGGGAACTAAAAGTTAAGCACTTTCTAATAAGTACATTCTTTGTTTTCCAGTGCGTGGCAAAGGTTAAATGGACAGTTTGCACTTTTCCAGTGGGATCTAAAGATACTGTATGTGAGGAACTATCGAGGGAAATATCCTAAGTGAGGTACGCTGCTGTAAGTACCGAGACAAAGAAAACACAGATCACTTTTACAATAATTTATGATCTATAATCAGCCTCATATTGTAAGGAGAAGAGGACCGTCTTTCTGTTTCCCTGCTCTCTACCATGACAGGGGGAACTGCACAACATATCTGAATATACTCTGACAGCCTGAGCTGGTATCTCTCTTTCATGTTGAAAAGATACAGTTAATAGGATAGCAGTGTTAGGATAATGCACACCCTGCCCAAGGCCCTAAATCTCTCAAGGTTTAGACCATTGCCTTAAAACTTTAGATTTGCAGAATTTTGGAAAATTCCTATATTCCGTCATTTGGGAGTCACTGGCTCACAAACTAATACTAAATTTGAGAATTTTGCAGAGTTCTTTAGAACTATGCTCATAAAGCTAAGATCATAAGATGAGAAATTTATGGCCTTAGGTGATCAAATTTTCACAAACATCCTCCCATGATATACTGTTAAAGTGTTTTAAGCTCAGCACATCTGTTGTGCTTCCCTAGCTCGTGAACAGTGATTCTCTCCAGGAATTGAATGGGTAGGTTACACAGTCTTACCTGCCTTAAATTATTAATCTACAATGACATTTACAGTCTTCAGACATTGCTGTAGGAAAATAGGTTTTACATTTCACAACTGAACTGTAATACTACAACAATTGGGACAACTCCTGTGGTTAACCAAAATGCATTTTAAACAAATAAAGCCCCTCAGTATACCAAAAAGGTTGCCACTCAATCAATCCAAGTTTGAAATTAAATATAAAGACAATAAATTTTTCATTGGATCAGTGCATAAATGACCTAGCCCTAAACTAGAAAGGACTTGGGTTTGATTTTGGACTGCTGAATTATCCGGTCTCTATCAGGGACGACAGCGACCAAGGCGCAAGGGAAATGGGTATCAACTGCTGACTGCCTTAGTTATTTCTGCTGAAAGATGAACATGCTTCAATGATGGTGTCGATAGGAGGAGATGGGATACCTGCCTCCCCCCTGCACAATTTAATTCCCTGCTGATATTCAAATGTCGAGGTTTATATGTGACTGATAGCCACTTTGACAAATAAGAGGTGGAACAATAGCATTTGTTCAACTGTAATCTAGAGAGCCAGTGTTTCAAGAGAATAGGATATTGGAAACAAAACTAAGATACTATAATACTCGAATCATTTATTGTGCTTTTTTACATTTAATCTACAAAACAGTAGATGTGAAGAAATCAATGTTGTTATACATTAGTTCTTATTCACATGAACTTTATATGCTAAGGCTATTCTGAATATATTTTCCCTATCATTTAGTAGTATTGATTGTTACCATTTTACATTTTGTTTACACATTTATTTTCTCATCTGTTCTCTTCCCTCCTTTCCAAGAGGTGCTGACTGACTTCTGCTGGGTACTGTTCCATGGGCGCCCTCTGGTGCCTTGCCCACATGACCCTTCTTTGTATGGGAGCTTAAGCGGGGAATGTTCACAGGCAATGTGACAATGGGGAAAAAGGGCCTCACAGCTGAGCCCAATTCTGCTCTCGTGATTCATGCAGACATGGGGTCACTGGATAGCAATTGGGAGAAGGAAACCTGACTAATATCTCCTCTCCTAGTTCAAAGGTCACTAAGGCTAATTGTAGCATCTCAGCTGCTGCCTGATCTGATATCCGCTAACTCAGCACACTGCAAGAATTTGGGACTTTCCTGTCATTTAAGCCTTTTTTGATGGTAATAACTACACGTTGTTAAACAGAATCAAGCGTTCTGTTTTATTTTTAAAAAGATGCATTGTACTCTTGTTCTGGATCACAACATTTTAAAAAAGAATTTCACACAACAAAATAACTGAATGAAAACCTGAACTAAGATAATTCAGAGCTATCTGTGCATAAATCACAATAAACCATAAGTCTTGTATTAATTCTAACAGCAAGCCCAAATACTGTTTACGAACACAGAGACTGAAAGTCTACTTCTCCCCTAGTCATTTTGACGCTATTCCCCATTTGTCTGTGTTTTTTAAAACAAAAGCCAATTTCTTAGTTTAATAAATGATTCGCTCTCTGATTGGCTCAATCTAGGGAATGCACCATGTGGTATGCTGAGCCAAACCAGACCCGAAAGTTACTGGGTTCCGTTCCTGGTCTCTGTGAGTTAGCTACCAGTGGGTTAGCATTTCACCCACAAACTACACAGTCAAGTAATTTTACTGTATATTCTGTGAAGCACTTTGAGCTGTCTCAACGACGTGATAAGGCTCCATATCAAATGCAAGGTTTATTATCACTTGCGCTGAGCCAGGAGGATAGCACTTGGCCTCCATACCCCGCTTTAAAGGAAGGAAAATAAAAATTCCACCTGCTTCTGTTAGCTTTCCAGGAACCACACAGGAAAATATTTATGTATAGAACTTCAGCTGAAGGCAGCATGACTGTGGTCCTGTTCCTCGTCATTATTCAGCAGGCTTGGTGTTAATCTTCCCTTTCCCACTTCCAGGATAAAATAGCCAGCCAATGTTTACAGGGGAATCACTGCCTTCAAGAACAGATCTACAGAAACTTGCCACATGAGATCTGCCTTATTCATTCCTGAATCTTAAATCTTTTGTTCTAAGGCTTCTCAAAGGAGTTTAAATTAAAATGGGAGACAGCACCAATATAATTAATGAGAAACTCCAAATATTTTGATTAATGTAAGACTTGTGTCTTTCTCTCATCACAAATTTAGAAAGATCAGCCCTGACTATAATTGAACGAATGGTATTTACCAGCAGATTTACTGGATTATAATTGGGCGATAATAATATGATATGAAATTTGATCATTTACCATTGGTAATCGGTGGAGATTATCAAATTCATCGCCGATTCTCCGGAGCTCCTGGCCAATCAACCGCTCCACATGCATGTTGATGGGCATGGGTTGAGGCATTTCTTCAACACCGGTGGCCTGTCGGGTCGAGTCTCTACCTGCAAAAATAATCGGAAAATAAAATTCAAACGTTCTTTCACTGGCAGCGCTAAGAGTGAATTGTGAATGTAAGATATATGTGATTAATTTCTGCATGAATGCCTCAGACTGCTTTCAGGCTAATGTCTAACAAGACAAGTCGTTTCCTTTTTGGTTGTTTTGGCTCTTCCCACCCCAGCTCAGGTGCCAGGCCAACAGTGTCAAGCACTTTAGGACATCCTCTCGATGTGAAAGGCTCTATAATAAATATACATTTGTATTGTGTTTACTTGTTGGTTGTACAAAAGAAACACTTGGGAAGACGCAATTTAAAGTTTTAGAGCCTATAGACATGGAAGAACACAAGAGGTGATAGGGCAGCTTGCCACATCTTGGCGTTCATCTACACAATACAGTCATTACGTTCTTTACAATGTATCCTAAGAAACACTTTTGAGATGTTCCCTGACATGAAAGGCACTATATCAATTGTAAACATTATTATTATTGTTATAATCTCCATCATGAACTCAGCACTGACCTTCATGTGAATACATTTTCTTTTTAAAAAATTAAAAATGCTACTCGCACAACTGGGTAAAGCATTGGCAATATTTGCAGGATAACAGAGTTGCCTAATACTGCATTAATTATCTGCGAGAACTTTGATCTTTCAAAAGTGTATAACCATTCACCACTATGCATTATCAAAATAACAGGCAATCTATTTGTTTCTTCCCCTTCCACACTCCTCTCTTCCTATCCAAAAGTTGCTAACTCATGCTAGTGTAAAAATGTCAATATGTTCCTTCGGTGTTACTTATCCTTCAGTACCTCACCCAAATAACAAGAATAATAACCCTTGATTTTGACATAGTGCTTCATCAAGTCAAAATATTTCAAAGGGCTTCAGTTTTCTGAAAAGTGTAGTATTTGTAGGTGAACGTAGCAGTCAATTTGTGTACAACAATGTCCCACAAACAGCTATGAAGTGAATGATCAATTTTATTTGGGGGAATGTTGGCTAGGCCATTGGGAGAAACACCCTTCTCTTTTCAAATAATGTCATGAAATAATAATAATAATAATCCTTGCATTTGATATAGCGCTTTTCACGTCGGAAGGACGTCCCAAAGTGCTTCACAGAACATACTGTAAAATGAATTGACTGTATATTTTGTGGGCGAATCTTTAATGTCCACATGAACAGACAGACAGAATCTCTTTTTTTGTGAGTGAACATGTGAATGAGTGTGTGTGTGATTGCCTGTCAGTGCATGAGTATAAATTAGTGTGAAAGAGTTCATCTATAAAGGCATCACAAGTAATCCTGATCTTGTCGTTGCATTTTCACACCCAAACTTTCTAGCGAGAATGCCTGAATCGGGATTGGGAACTATAGTTGGTTTTGCTTCCTTAATCCAGGAGTATTGACACCAATTTTAACCCTTCCCCTCACCGCTGGCTTGGCTCTGAGATTGTCATTTTTTCATGACTCGCTTCTGCACTAAGCGTTGGTTTTACTGAGGCATTGGGATATCGATCAGTTTTGTTCAAATTCTGAAGTATAATTGGCAGATATATCACTGCATGCTGAGTGACAAATGAAATTAGGTGAGGGAGTGGAAAATGTGGTTAGTTATAAAAAGACATAATTAATGTACAATATTAATTACTGTAGCATGCAGAGAAGCAGCAGCAGAGTGAAAGCATGGGAAATCTTCACAGTTTTGTTTGGCGATTAAAGTTCACGTCTTTCAATTACTGATATATAGGGAGGAATGCATGCTGCTAATAAGGTACATCCCCAATTTATAAATACACATACTCACTCTACAATACCATCAATCAATCTGTTGACTATTTAACCTGTTCTTCAGCTTTTGAAACATGCACATGCTTTCCTGTGTACATATTCAGAGATCTATTACACTCTTATTTGCATGCAACTGAGAAAAGTCAAGTACAATAGAAACTGCTTTCCACAGTACTGAATCAGAATCAACTGCCACATGATAACTTATTGAATATTGCTCAGTGAAATATGAAACTGTTATATAAAAGATTTGACTAAGGAACCTGCTCATGGTGTATAAACTCGTGTTTGCAGTTGTACAGACCACAGTTTTGCCCCGCCCTCCTTTTGTGATCTTGTATAACCCTACCAACACCTCTGTTCTCTCTGCTTGGAGGGCCTCCCTCACTCTCTGGAACCCCATCTCCGAGGCCTCTTACATTGGCCATTCTCTCACTCCTTCAAGATCCAACTTAAAACCTTCCTCTTTCACCAAGCCTTCAGTCATCTTCCCCCCAAACCCAGCTCGGGTGCAAGCCCTGGATTGCCCAATGCGTTGGGATGTCCTCCCAATGTGAAAAGCACAATATAATTTATTGTTGTTATTTTTTGGTCGATGGTGATCAGTTACGACTGCAAAGGTTTAGTAAATATTTCTAATGTAGAAAATGTTGAGTAAATATGGATGTATGGAGGTTTTTAAATGGCTTGGCAACTGCTTTAAAGTTTATATGTTCATCAATCTACTTATAAAGCTTGTTTTTGGTTTAAAAGTTGCTTTAATATGAATCTTACCCTAACTTTGTTTTGGACCTGTGTACAATTCAAATGAAACCAAACGCAGAGGTTTCACATTCAGGTGAGCAGAGAACAGCTTTTGCAGCAGGTCAGCTCTGAGGCAATCCAGTGAAATTCAAGTGAACCCACATAACTACAGGGGCATCTCCAACAGGAGTGTCAAGCTTGCATTGCAATGTTAAAACATGGCACTCTATCCATGCACTTGTGATGCATAGTTTTCCACCCCATGCTGACATCATACCAATAAAAGCTAGGTAATTCAGGAAATTAATACTGTGGTTAAGTGGTTGATAGTGAAATTAATCTGGGGCTTTCGGAAAGGCCTTTCTGTGCAACACCAAAAAAGACAGACACAAAATAGAATTAGCAAAGCAGAAAAAGAGGCACCATTTAATCTGTAAAGTTACACTGTGTTGCACATAAGTCTGACATTAAGCAGTCCCGTATGTGTGGCATAGGCTCCTAAAGATGTTTAATATTGCATCGGCTTGTGGTGTGTGAAAAACTCAATCTCCCTTACTACTTTTAGACATTAATAAAGCCAAAGAAAACCCAAAGAAAAAATATTCATTACATGAGAAAAATGTCATTATGTTACCTGATTACGCTGCAGAATAAAACAGCTTCTTAAAAGGAGGACAGACCAAAGCCTTTTCTCATTTATTTCAATGAGATATCACCATTAATATTACTCTATTAATTCAATACAACATTAGAAACAGTCATATTGCAGAAATGTTGGTTGACTGAAATAGGCTTTATTCACAGCTCTCCTAGCCATACGGGAACCAAGTCCTTGTAGTATTTGTTTATGTTGTGTGTTTATTTTTTGTCTGAGCTGTCATTTTAACTCTCTAATTATAGCGTTGTTGTCCTGATAAGAATTATTTGTTATACATCATTGCTTCCTGGGGAAATCTGTCTTTCTTTACTGACGTTCCCAGGTGTGAAAAGTTTTATCAGATAGAGCAGGCTTTACATGGATAACAATCGGCAATCAAATGCAAGGATTGTTATCATTAATGTTACCCATAAATCTCAGTAGAACTGTAATAGTTATTTCACAATAGGAAAAGCGAGGTCAGCATATCATAAGAAAGAGAGGAGTAATTAATGTTAATGAAAAAGACTTCATTCCTTGGATTTATTCTATTTGAAGAAAACAAAACACTGCCTGTTTTATTTATTGCTGTCACGGCTGTTTGAACGGCCTCAAGTTCTAACTGGCAATTATCCAAAACACGCACTTTCAACGGGCGTAAAACAAATGCAAACATAACCAGAAACATTATGCGCTAGCAGGCTTTAATAAAGTCATCAGCCATCCTTGACCCTGACTAATAACCCAGATGGATTACCAAATGGTGGGCTTCAAGATCTTTTAGAAAACCATGATCAATACCTGGGTTACTGTTCTTGGATTTTTCTTCATTCTGGGCAAAGAAAGACCCCAAACTATTGGAACAGCTGTGTTCAACCATAGTGCAAAATGTGAAGATAAATGTTTATCTTGGCACCAATATCAAGTTTTAGTCCACTATTCTTTTTAGAAACTTAATCAAGACTGAAAACTGATCCACGTTTACAATTCCCCTGATATAGTACTTAATTTTTGTTTTGTCGACCTTTTAGTATTCAGCTTAAACAAAACTTTCCAGGACTTCAAAGACAGGTCTTATAACTCACCAAATCACATTAATATATTCCTTTCTTCTATGTATAATAGTTAGAAAAATATGTTTGGGATCATTGTTAATACATTGCATTATCTGAGACTTAACTTTCACAATTATGTACTGAGTTTGGTTATTGTACTATGTATTTAACAATAAACCAGAGATACTTCCCTCCCCAAATACACCCACTAACTCAACATAACAACTTATTTTATCATATACATCATTGCTCTGGAATTGCTGGTTAGTACTGTATGAAGGAAAATATTGTTCTTTATATGCATGGTTGTATCTGAAAGATTATGAATGTGAATTAACAAATCAAATCTGATAGAGCTACAACAGTGAAGGAATGGCCAACAAAAACAGCCTATTGTGGTGGCTGAGTATCGTATACGACTTGTCTACTCAGCACAAAAAGTCTCCACCTATATTTTGACTACACTACAATCTTTTCCTACTTCTATTATTCATACAATAACAAAACCTTTACCTCGGGGGTCTAATTCAATGTTAAATGCAGTCATTGATGGAAGAAAAATACTAAATAGTCATCATGTACTATAATGATTTCAAAAGAACTGGAAAATTAAATGGTGTGCTTTTCAGATGTACTCCTTTCACACACTGTTTACTATACCTCATAACCATCATTTCAAGTTCACGATTATGATTACCTAAGAACTGTTTATTTGTCGATCTTCAGAAATGGTTGAATTTAAGTGAGAAAGCATTTACCGACATTAGAGATAAAGAAGTGTGATCTAATCTGTAATTAGATACTTGACACAGTAATATCTGCATTTTTCAATGACTTTGCATCAACCAAATCTTCATATATTTGAGAAATGCCCTGAACATTCTCTATGTAAAGCTGAGCAATTTTTGTCCAAAATATCTCATTGATCGAAAAGAACCTTATATTTCCTGCAGTTACGGATAGCGTAGCATTCGTCTTTAAAATAGATGTAATTCCAAGGCACTGCCTAATTAACAACAACTTGCACTTATATAGCGCCCTCCACGCAGGGTAACATCTCATCAGAACGCTTAACAGTAATGGAGCCTGACTCCGCGCCGGGGGGGGGGGGTAATGACCATAAGCACGGTTGAAAAGGAAGGTTTTCAGGCGGGTCTTGAAAAAGGGAGGTGCAGGGAGGTAGGGAGGTGCCAGAAAGTGAAATCACATTAGTTATACCTGCAAAGTTTCATCAGTCCAAGTACTACAATTGAAACTCTGGTTGATAGCAGTTGTGGTACAAAGGCACCCACCTATATTAATCTAATAAAACAAAGAACACATTTGTTTGAGGTCTCGGCTACATGCTACCTTTAATTAGTTCAGATCATTACAGTGAGATCTAAGCTAAATGACGAGGTTACCAGACATATATGTCAGTAACTTTCTGAACCTGATGACCATCACTTCTGGCTAACTTTCTGCCTGACACCAAAGGAGGAGATTCTTACCATGAGTCTGTGAATGCGGTGTCTGTGCCAGAGCTTGACGTGCAAGGTAGATGGCTTGGCAGGTTGGGCTTGGAGTCTGCGTAGACTTGTCGCAACTCGTGGGTCTAGCCATCAGTCCGATGTCCACATCAAAAGTAAAATATCCACTGGACAACCTGCTGGTTCTCGAAGATGGGGAAACAGGGGAATATGGTGTACGAAAAAAATTCGTATTGAATAATGGGCAAGTTGTAATGAAGGCCGGTGACAATTGGATATTCTCGCATGTCGTGTTAATAGGGAAATCGCTTTGCCCAGAAAGCTCACCTCGTGACATGCCTGGGTACTCCTTGACGACCTTCTCTTTTGTCAGTCAGTGTGTGGAACTGAAACTGACTGCATCTTGTCCTACTTGAAAAAATAAAGATACAATTAATATTTATGTCTCATTTTCATTAAGCACCTGAACACATATTTTATTGTATTATTAGATGACTTACAGATAATAAATGATATAAAATATTCTAATAATAGTGTTTATTAAATTACTTATTCTCTGTGATTTAACTATTTAAAAAGAGCAAAATAAATCTTGCCTTGTATCACTGACTGATTAAGGATGAATAAAAATGTCATCACAAATCACACACTGGATACTGCTAGTTAACACTATCTGCTTAACTTCAAGACTTTGACTAGCACCCAGTGCTTCACATTGTTTGTGTAAAACTGTCAATTACAAGTAGTAATATATCTGTAAAACTAAATCTTTTAAGATTTTGTGGTCACTCAAGATGTTCAAGGAGCATTTACTTGAAGTTTCAATGAGTGAATACACTGCCAGTGAATTGAACTCGAACAGACCTGGAAGATCTGCTAGTGGTTCAATCCTAGTGTTTGTTGAATTATCTGGTGTTAGCCTGCATAGCAACAGAGATACTGCTGGATCTTAATTCTGATAGAATTGATTATTCTTACAACCGAGGGAGTTATCCCAAAATATATTTCTGGTTAATAATCAACTTCAGATGACTTCCAGCTCACAAAACTGTTCAGCAATTGTATTGCTGAACAATTCTGGGCATTTCATTAAAGTGTGATGGAGATACATCTGTGTTTTATCAACTCTGTAATGTATCTAATGCAGAACATTTTTATGCTAAGCAGCCCACTTGCTTAGCATAAAAATCTATAAAAGCTGATGCTGTCATTGTTGGATAGCATCCGTGGCAATGAAACTCCTGCCACCTCTAATTTTAGTCTTAAAACAGCAGGTTTTGTGATAAAATAACTGGAGTAAGGCAGCATTTTGACAATCTTGATGCCATTCAAAGTTGAGTAAGCAGTCAATGTTTTCTTATACATATTAGTCATAACTTGCGTGGGTCTGCATCCTCTTTTATCTGCACTCTCCTTCCACTAATTTACTAACTTTTTCCAATGCAATAAAAGTCCTTCTGAAGACAATATATATTAACTCATTAAAACAAATCAATTGGAAAGTCTGGACCTGCACCCTCTCTCCCCCTCCTCCCCCCCACCCCCAACCGAACTGTTCAGTGCAAGGCAAGGACATCATAATTCCACAATCCAGGATGAAATCTAGAACTGCACTCTTTGTGCAGAAATATTTTGTTTCGTTCTGATGAAATTTAGAGGCAAGCATTGCGAGGGATGTGACGAGATGTGAGTCTGGCGTTTTTCCTACTACAGTTCCATTGTTCTCTCCAAAGTGCTGACCACAGCAGTTCCAGAATTGGCAGCAACAGCATCTCCAACAAGTGCGTCACCACACAGCTTACACACTGTCAACACACACACACACACACACACACACACACGCACGCACAGGGCTACCCGACTGCTGAAGCGCTCAGATTGAACTCCAAGCCTCTACTTCTGCACTTTTGTAATGGGAAACATCTGTAAAGTGTGCTAATTTAAAAGGAGAGAAAAAAAAGTTTAAAAATAGCACGTGGGATGTGTTGTGGGTTATAAATAGAAATACGTGTTGCCAGTGTCGAAAAGAAAGCAAACTCTTCTCTTCAAAAAGAACTAACGCCTTTTTTTTTAGCTACAGTTTATGCTTCCCTATTGTTATTCCTGCAAGTTGTTGCCTGGTAGACTTTGTTCTGTCAACCCTCTTGCTGGCCAGACTTTTCCTCCGAGGATTAAAAATGTACTCTCCCCTCCACCTCCCCCCACCAATACTTTATCACCAGCACTGCGGTTACACAGCTTGTCTCCGGTCAGTCGGTCGGTCAGTCACACAGCCTATCCCCACTCAGTTGGTCCATCACACAGCTTGACCCCAATTGATCGGTCAGTTGGTCACACATCCTGTCGCTGGTCAGTAGGACCATCAGTCACAGTTATTAGTCACACAGCCACTCAGACAGGCTGTTCGTCACACAGGTGTAAACCACTTCTCAGTCACACAGGCTGTCAGTCACACACACACACGCACACGGACTGTCAGTCACTGTCAGTCACACACACACACACACACACACACACAGGCTGTCAGTCATACACACACACTCTCAGTCACACCGACACACACAGACTGTCACACAGATTGTCATACACACAGGCTGTAAGTCACACACACACAGACTGACACACATCCAAGGCTGTCAGTCACACACACAGGCTATCACACACACAAATACTGTCACACACACACAGACTGTCCCACGCACACACATACACAGACTGACACACACACAGACTGTCACATACAGACACACAGACTGTCACACACGCACAGACTGTCACATACAGACACACAGACTGTCGCACATGGACAGACTGTCACACACAGACACACAGACTGTCACACACACACACACACACACACACACACAGACTGTCAGTCACATGAGTGAATGAGTGCCTCAAGCCTACTGATGGTTGACGTAGGAGCTGCCGGCCTCAGGGCGCTGCTCATTGGCCGCTCAGGTCTGTTTACAGTCTTGAGCTCGTCACATGTGCAAAATCGCGCCCAGAACAGAGGCTGAGACAGTGAGACACTGACACAGTGTGAGAGACACTGACACAGTGAGAGACACTGACAGAGTGACACTGACACAGTGTGAGAGACACTGACACAGTGTGAGAGACACTGACACAGTGTGAGAGACACTGACACAGTGTGAGAGACACTGACAGTGTGAGAGACACTGACACAGTGTGAGAGACACTGACACAGTGTGAGAGACACTGACACAGTGTGAGAGACACTGACACAGTGTGAGAGACACTGACACAGTGTGAGAGACACTGACACAGTGAAAGACACTGACACAGTGTGAGACACTGACACAGTGAGACACTGACACAGTGAGACACTGACAGTGTGTGAGACACTGACACAGTGTGAGACACTGACACAGTGTGAGACACTGACACAGTGTGAGAGACACTGACACAGTGTGAGAGACACTGACACAGTGAGACACTGACACAGTGTGAGAGACACTGACACAGTGAGAGACATTGACACAGCGAGACACTGACAGTGAGGGACACTGACACAGTGAGCCATTGACACAGTGTGAGACAGTGACACAGTGAGACAGTGACACTGTGAGACAGTGACACTGTGAGACACTGACACAGTGAGACAGACACAGTGAGACACTGACACAGTGAGACAGTGACACAGTGAGATAGTGACACAGTGCGATAGAGGCACTGACACAGTGAGACAGTGACACAGTGAGAGACAGTGACACAGTGAGAGACACTGACACAGTGAGACACTGACACAGTGAGACACTGACATAGTGAGAGACAATGACACAGTGAGACATTGACACAGTGAGAAACACTGACATAGTGAGACACTGACACAGTGAGACACTGACACAGTGAGACACTGACACAGTGAGAGGCACTGACTGACACAGTGAGAGGCACTGACTGACACAGTGAGAGACACTGACTGACACAGTGAGACACTGACACAGTGAGAGGCACTGACAGTGAGACACTAACACAGTGAGACACTGACACACGGTGAGAGGCACTGACACACAGTGAGAGGCACTGACACAGTGATCGGCAATGACACACAGTGTGAGGCACTGAAACACAGTGTGAGAGACTGAGACTGTGTGAGCGACACTGAGAAACAATGTGAGAGACTGAGACACAGTGTGAGAGACACTGAACACAGCATGTGTGTGTGAGAGAGACGGGTACATTGAGAGTAGGTGTCAGACAGAAGGTAGAGAAGGAGTAAAACTGGTGCGGTGAATGAGTATGGTGGAGAATGAGAGTGAGTGAGGCTGGTGCAGAAGGCGAGTGAGTGAGTGTTAGTGAGTGAGGCTGGTGCAGAGGGTGAGTGAGTGAGTGAGTGAGTGAGTGAGTGAGTGAGTGAGTGAGTGAGTGAGTGAGTGAGTGAGTGAGTGAGTGAGTGAGTGAGTGAGTGAGTGAGTGAGACTGGTGTAGAGTGAATGAGTGAGGTAGTGAGTGAGGCTGGTGGAGAGTGAGTGAGGCTGGTGTAGAGAGTGAGCGAGTGAGTGTTAGTGAGTGAGGCTGGTGTACAGTGAGTGAATTAGTGAGTGAGGCTGGTGTAGTGAGTGAGTGAGTGAGTGAGTGAAGTGAATGAGTGAGTGAGTGAGTGAGTGAGTGAGTGAGTGAGTGAGTGAGTGAGTGAGTGAGTGAGTGAGTGAGTGAGGCTGGTGTAGTGAGTGCGTGAGTGAGTGAGTGAGGCTGGTGTAGAGAGTGAGTGAGGCTGGTGTAGAGTGAGAGTGAGTGAGTGAGTGAGGCTGGTGTAGAGTGAATGAGTTAGTGAGTGAGGCTGGTGTGGAGTGAGTGAGTGAGTGAGGCTGGTGTAGAGTGAGTGAGTGAGTGAGTGAAGCTGGTGTAGAGTGAGTGAGTGAGTGAGTGAGGCTGGTGTAGAGTGAGTGAGTGAGTGAGTGAAGCTGGTGTAGAGTGAGTGAGTGAGTGGGTGAGTAAGTGAGTGAGTGAGTGAGTGAGTGAGTGGGTGAGTAAGTGAGTGAGTGAGGCTGGTGGTGAGTGAGTGAGTGAGTGAGTGAGTGAGTGAGTGAGTGAGTGAGTGAGTGAGTGAGTGAGTGAGTGAGTGAGTGAGTGAGTGAGTGAGTGAGGCTGGTGTAGAGTGAGTGGGTGAGTGAGTGGGTGAGTGAGGTGTAGAGAGTGAGTGTTAGTATGAACAGCGAGACTTCACCGGAGCCCCGACAACTCCCCAAAACAAGTTTACACAATGTAACGATTAACCCCCCACACCCTCCCCCCCACATCCTCCCCCCTCACCCCCCCCACACACTCCCTCCCGCCCCCCACACACACACCCTTCCCCCTCCCCCCCCACACACCCCCTCTCCCCCCACACACCTCCTCTCCTCCACACACACCCCCTACCCCCCTCAACCCCCTCCCCCACACACCCCTACCCCCTTCCCCCCCACACACCCCCTCCCCCACACACCCCCTCCCCCACACACCCCCTACCCCCCACACACCCCCCCTCCCCCTCACACCCCCACACACACCCCCTCCCCCACACACCCCCTACCCCCCTCCCCCACACACCCCCTACCCCCTTCCCCCCACACACCCCCTCCCGCCCCACACACACACCCCCTCCCCCCCCCACACACCCCCTACCCCCACACACCCCCTACCCCCCCACACCCCCTCCCCCGACACCCCCCTCCCCCCCCACACACCCCCTCCCCCCCACACACACACCCTACCCCCCTCCCCCCTCCCCCCCACACACCCCCTCCCCCGACACCCCCCTCCCCCCAACCCCCCCCACACACACCCTCCCCCCCACACAACCCCCCTCCCCCCACACACCCCCACCCCCTCCCCCACACACACCCCCACTCCCACACAGATACCTAAGTGTTATTTCTAAAGAAAAAAAATCCTTGCCCCCCCCCCCCCCCACAACAACAACAACAACAACAGCCTCCGGCGGGGAGTTGGCACCGACAAACCACCTCTCGAATTGTGGCCGAGAGGGGAAAAGAAAAGGAGAGAAAAAAAAGTATAAGAAATAGTCCCCCAGCCCCCCCCGCCCCCAGCCCCCCCCCGCCCCCAGCCCCCCCCCCCCAGCCCCACCCCAGCCCAGCCCCCCCCCCCAGCCCAGCCACCCCCCCCCCCAGCCCCACCCTCCAGCCCCCCCCCCACCCCCAGCCCAGCCACCCCCCCCCCCAGCCCCACCCTCCAGCCCCCCCCCCCCCCCACCCCCCAGCCCCCCCCCCCCTCCAGCCCCCCCCCCACCCCACCCTCCAGCCCCCCCCCCCGCCCCCAGCCCAGCCACCCCCCCCCAGCCCCACCCTCCAGCCCCCCCCCCACCCCCAGCCCAGCCACCCCCCCCCCCAGCCCCACCCTCCAGCCCCCCCCCCCCCCCCAGCCCCACCCTCCAGCCCCCCCCCCACCCCCAGCCCCAGCCCCCCCCCCACCCCACCCAAAGAATCGGTTCATCCGAAAATCTGTTGGAGCAGATGTGAGCATTGCTGTGTGTACAAAGATAAACTCAGTCCCGGGGGCGGCGGCGGCGGTGGGAAAAGTTTTCGTAAAAGTTAAAATGCGCCCAAAGTCGCTCCACACCACCGCCAAATGCTGCTCTCACTGCGGGAAAGTCACCCCCCGACCCCCCCCAAAAATATATATATATATATATACACCCAACACATCGTCTCCGACAAGTGATCGCACGAAATGCTATAACAAATATAATGTTGCGTTAAATGCGCACATTACACACTCACTCAGTCAGTCACTCACTCACAGAGAATAACAGATCCTTCTCAACTTTCGGTCGAGCGCCTCCGCAAACCGCAGTACATGTGGTTTTGTTATTGTCGCCGTCAGACGAGTATCGGAGCCGCCGGACAATAAACACACAGCAGACACCGCCCCCTCCCCTCCCCTCCCCGGGGGGGGGGGGTGTGGGGGTGTGTGTGTGGGGGGGGGGGGGGTGTGTGTGTGTGGGGGTGTGGGGGGGTGTGTGTGTGTGGGGGGGGTGGGGGGGTGTGTGTGTGTGTGGGGGGGTGTGTGTGTGTGGGGGGGTGGGGGGGTGTGTGTGGGGGGGTGGGGGTGTGGGGGTGTGTGTGGGGGGTGGGGAGTGTGGGGGGGGGTTGTGTGTGTGGGGGGGGTTGTGTGTGTGTGTGGGGGGGGGTGTGGGGGGGTTGTGTGTGTGGGGGGGGTGGGGGGGGGGGGTGTGGGGTGGGGTGTGTGTGGGGGGGGGGTGGGGGGGGTGTGGTGGGGTGTGTGTGTGTGTGTGTGGGGGGGGGGGGGGTTGGCTACTGCAGCGCAGCTCCTAAACCATATCAATCCCCATTACCCTAATGCCAATCGCGGCAAAAGGCGCAACGCGTTTAAACCCCGAGGTTTGTTTTGGGGAAGAGTTTCGGGTGTGATTCCCCCACAGTTTTGCCGGTTGTCTGTCCGCTGCTTTGTTGGGGGGAAAACACACACACACACACGCGTCCTTTTTGTCAGCGCTGAGAGGCAGCGTGTCGGGCAGTGTGTGTGTCAGGGCAGGGCAGGCAGGGTCGGGCAGGGCAGGGCAGGCAGGGTGTCGGGCAGGGCAGGGCAGGCAGGGTGTCGGGCAGGGTGTGTCGGGCAGGGCAGGGCAGGGGTGTCGGGCAGGGCAGGCAGGGTGTCGGGCAGGGCCGGGCAGGCAGGGTGTCGGGCAGGGCAGGGCAGGCAGGGTGTCGGGCAGGGCAGGCAGGGTGTCGGGCAGGGCAGGGAAGGCAGGGTGTCGGGCAGGGCAGGGCAGGCAGGGTGTCGGGCAGTGTGTGTGTCAGGTAGGGAATGGCTCACCTGTGCAGTGCTCGGCGGTGTCTGGCTGGCGGCTGGTCTGTGCGCTGCAGCTCTCTGTCTGTCTGTCTGACTGACTGTCTGTCTGTCTGACTGACTGACTGTCTGACGGAGGGCGATACTCACATCACTCACTCGCTACTGAAGGAAACACACACTGCGTTCAGAACCTCTCTCTCGCACCTCTTACTGCTGTTTCCTCCTCCCCTTTCGTCTCCGCCCAAACACAACACACGACACATACGGAAAGACAGGCCGGTCCTCCGGGGGCAAGTCAGGGCAGGTGAGGTGAGGCTGAGAGTGAGGTGGGGGGGATGTGTGGGGGGGTGGGGGGGAGCAAACAGGGCAGCGATCCACCCCCGAGCCGCTGAGAGTACACGACCACAGGGAGAATGCGTGTGATGTTTTTAGGGAAGTAGTCTACACCATTGCATAACAGTGACGGAAACAAGGAGTCGACTTTTATTTTGTTTTGATGGTGGTGGTGGTGGGGGGGGGGGGAGGGTGGAGTTACCGGGCAGTGTAACTGACTGGTTAATTTATAAGGAAAACATTTTTTAACAAAAAAGGCTCGTTTTAATAAAATCAAAAACGTAGCTAAGAACGTATCCCTGACCGGGGTTCAGGGCAAGAGTGAGGCTCACCGAGCACAGGGTGGGAGGGTTGGGAGGGTTGCGGGAGGTTGGGAGGGTTGCGGGAGGTTGGGAGTGTTGCGGGAGGTTGGGAGGTTGCGGGAGGTTGGAGGGTTGCGGGAGGGTGGGAGGGTTGCGGGAGGTTGGGAGTGTTGCGGGAGGGTTGGGAGTGTTGCGGGAGGGTTGGGAGTGTTGCGGGAGGGTTGGGAGTGTTGCGGGAGGTTGGGAGATGCCTCTCTCGAGTCAGGTTTCCCTCCCACTCCCCACACAGTAACATCTGCAGCTCACTGAGGGCTGCAGCCAAAAGGGGGAAACACGGCAAACAGCACCGCCGGGTGAGGAGGGAGAGCAAAGGAGATCTGAAACCGCTTTTAATAGAGGATGGATTTGAGGGGGGGGTTGGGGGGGGGGGGGGTGGGGTTGGGGGGGGTTGGGGTTGGGGGGGGGGTTGGGGTTGGGGGGTGGGGGAGAGGGGGTGAAGGGGGGGAGAGGTTAAAACTCGAGGAAGAAATGTACAATTTCTGAAGTAACGAGGAAGTAACGCTGTAACAAGTCGCTCAAAAAGAAACACCCGGGTTACAGATAAGGAGAAACGAGCTATTTTTAGATGATATTATTATTATTATTATTATTATTATCATCAGATGCTGCGTGGGACTCGGTATATTTTGTGCGCACAGTGACCTTTCTCTGTAGTCGCTAAAGTGTTGTTATTTCTTTTTAATCGGATAAAGACGCGTCTGTCCTGCGTTAAACACAAAATACAGCATCTAAATGATGGGGAGAGGGGGGGATGTCGCAGCACTTGTGCGACCCCCTCCCTCCCTCCCTCCCTCCCTATTTCATACAATTCCCGGGCATCGCAGTAAATGCCGCGAAAGCGCTTTGAGGCGTCTCCTTCGGGGGTGAAACGGGAGGATTATCATTCTGGTGCGCGGTAACTCTCTCAAATCGTGAGGGAAATAAACGATGGAGGGAGAGAGGGAGAGGGAGGGAGGGAGGGAGGGAGAGGGAGGGAGGGAGGGAGAGGGAGGGAGGGAGGGAGAGAGGGAGAGAGAGGGGATAGTCGGATGGAGGAGAAAACAAGGAGCAACAGCGGCCGCACCTGATGCTGCGAGTGGAATATTTTCAGGAAAGTTTTTTTGTGTGTATATAACATATAATATATCAGATATAATATATCAGATAAAGAAAAAAAAGTGCGTGAGTGAAATAAGTTGGAAGTCACACACACGCACACACGGGGCACAGAAAACCGGGGGCTGCGCTTTCCTCAACACGAACGCACCGGAGACCCGCGGCCACATAACACCGCTGAGCGAAAGCGGCGGCGGCGGCAAATCTCAGCCAAACAGAGAGAGAGAGAGAGAGAGACACGAAACCAACCTCAGCGCAACACACGAGAAAGTGCTATATTAATAGTTATACTTCAGCCGCGCGTGATGAGTAATGGTGAAAAACGCACTCAGTCAACTTCGCGACAGCGGTTTTGGAGTCGGAACTCTTTTTGGTTTTGTTTTGGGGATCGAATGCGTTACCCTCCGGGGATCACCTCAACCGAAGAGTAAAGACTTTCCGGAGCGTTACTCTGACCTTCTTATTGTTTTAAGATGCGAATCGGGGTTTGTCGTGTTGTCAAATTAAAAAAAAAAAACAACAACAACTCTCGGGACCGCTTCTGAGGGGAGGGAAACAAATCACAGGTTTGGTTATTCAAAGGCAAGAGTTTGGTTATTACAAACCTAACGATCTGCCCCCACCCCCCACCCCCCCCCCATCCCCCCAAAAAAAAATGCAGCGTTGTAGTTGCGATGCGTAATGTGTTTGCAAAATACTACATTAAAATATCTCGTGTAACCTGGAGGTTTAGTTGCAATGAATTAGTAAAACTGCGGCTCAGTAATTTAGTCGTAGTCACAGACAGACAGTGATAAAGCTTTTTAACTACTGCGCTGCACATCACGAGTTTTAACACTGGCATTCGCTACATTTGTTTTATTTAAAGAGAGGAAAACGAGGAGTACAAATCGCATCGGTTTCATTTTCAAACGCGATTTTTTTGTTTCTCACACCAGGTCTGTGTCAGACAGACTTTGGTCATTCCCGGGGGCCGTGTGTCTGAGCTCTCTGCTGCACACTGACACACTGAACCTGTGCAGAGGCGTTGTTTGGGTGTTTTTTTTTATTCGGTGGACGAGTTTCAGTGTCAGGTAGATAGTTATCAGGGGAGAAAAGTAGAATTGTCCGCCCACACGCCCAAAACAAATCAGCAAAAAAGAAACATTTGCACGAAAACGGTAAACGGAGGAGATAGAAATATAAAGACACATTTGGAATGAAAGTTTAGTTAATATAAATATATATATATATATATATGACCATACGATATCTATATATATATATATATATATATGTATTTGTGTTCTATACAGATTGCAGCATTTAAAAATTACAAATGTACGAATCATTCCTGGAAAAAAAATCAACATTTTACTGCTTTTGATCGTTAAAACATCTGATTGCAATCATTTTATATATTTTTTGTGATTACTTATTCAGTGTGTGCGTGTGTGGGTGGAGGGGTGGTGGTGGTGGTGGGGGGGTGGGGGGGGGGGGGTGGTGGAGGGGAGAAACTGTACAGGAAAGTAAGTCATCATCTGGCACGATGTGGTTTGGTTCAGCACGAGGTGCTCTCTCGGCTTTTTACAATTTGGCTTGGAAATTTGCCTTCGCTCCTGGGGAGTCGGGGGGGTGGGGATAAAAAGTCCAAGTGGCTGTGGGGCTGGGGTTGCCGGCGATCGGTGCCTGGACCGAACTGGCTGGGATGTTGAAAGCTGACACCACCGTGAGAGCATCCTCCTTGGCCGACTTGCACAGCTCCAGAAACTGCAAAGCAAAGGCAAACAGACGAGAAAGAGCCCTGTGTCCAGACCAGACCAGACCGAACCGAACCAGGAGTTGTCTCGGCGCAGGCATTGCGGGGCAGCGCTGGCTCCGGGAGTCAGTCCGTCAGTCAGTCGGTCAGAGTCAGTCCACTCTGCAGGAATGCAGGTGGACCTGGAATAAAGGCAACAACATGATCTATTTCAATCCGCACACTTCCTATTTCTGATTTTCGTTTCGAGAACAGCAGTCGAGAGCTGCTCTCTCTTTCAGCACATCGTACACATTCGCATCAGTCCCCGGCACTGGTTTGCGGGGCTGGTGCGGTGCGGGTGCTGGTGCGGGTGCGGTTGTTCCTCAGAAGCTGTCGGTGCAAATCTCCCTTTATATGTTCCCTCTGAAGCGCTCCCCAACCCTCTCGGCGATGCCACCCCTCGAGAGACGGGTCGGAAGAGCCCCCGCGGCCGCCGAACTTATTTGTTTCACAAGAAAAGCGATGCGATCGTCCTCGATGTGTCAAATATCATAACATCTTTGTATCTGCCACTGGTGATATTTAGCGAAAAACCACTCCCCGCACACACACGCACACACACACACACACACACGCACACAAAGTGCACACACAATTTCCCCTGACATCAATGCGGGGGTGAGATTCGGTGACTTCTGATTATTTTTCTTCGCAGGCAACGGGTCATGAAGACAAAATGCCGCTAAAAATAATACAACCTGCATTGTTTCGTCGGGTTTTGTGATATTTGCGAGTTTAGTCACCAATAACAGACACCCGGAGTTTGTTTATTGACTGCGAACCGAACGAGTGTCGTTTCTATGTGTCAGTCCAAAGTTGTGGTCATATCATCTCGAAACCCTTCAGACTGTGGTCAAACAGCTGTTTCAAACCCTCTCCAAAACTCCACCACCTCATCTCTGGACCACAATTTGTGCCCTTTGATCAAAAAAGAAATGTGTTTTTTTTCAACAAACGCAGCGTTTTACACCCAAGAACAGAGAGCGACGTTATTTTACTGGGGATCAGATAAACAGGAACCGACCGACTTTCTGATGCCTCTGCCGATCGGCTCATAATCGCGCATCAGATTGCGTGTGTGTGTAAAAAAAAAAGCGATCGGTTCATTTTATTATGTAAAGGTTCTCGTACCGTCGGCAGCCAAGTCACTAACACAGCGACACACGCACACAGCCCCCGCAAAGGTCTCCTGTGCAGTGGGTGTGTGTCTGGTCTGTGGGTACAACACTACAAAAATAGTGCATCCACCTTCGTCAGGGGGGGGGGGGGGTGTGGGGGGTGTGGGTGGGGGGGAGGTGGGGTGTGTGTGGGGAGGGGGGATGTGTGGGGAGGGTGGGGGGGGGTGAGGGTGGATGCTTACAGATACCTAATACTGGATTGAATACGGTAAACTGATTTAAAAAAAAACGTGAGCCTCATGTGATGCTGATGTTTCGATTCCTCCCATTTTCGGTGTGCAAGGCGGGGGGGGGGGGGGGGGTCACACACTGTGAGGCAGTGTGGGCTCGTTATGGTTTTATGATCCGATTCAAATAACAACCGAATGCGTAATAAACACGCAGTGCCTCTGCCCGCAGCAGCGGTGCCGTGGTTTATTTCACCTTTTTGCTCCACAAAGATGCGCTCGTTCTCAATGATGCTTTTGCATTGGTGCGGCTTTAATGCAACGGGGGTCAGGAAGGCAATCCTGCAACAGGACTGAAACATTTACCTGAGAGGAACAGAACTCACAAAACACCAACAACGTGAGAGCGTGGAACTGAGCCACACTATTGCGTAAACAAAAATGACTCGCCACTTTGGGAAAACTGTGTGAATGTGTGTGTGGGGGGGGGGGGGGGGGGGGGGGTGGGGGGGGAATCGAGTTGCAAGGCATAATTTTACAGGCATTCAAGTGCAGGTTACTGTAAAGGCAGGGTCTTTGTATCGTGATAAAGGCATTTATCATTTGGGAGAAAAAATTACTGGCATAAGATGCAAACAGTCCTATTACCCTCTTGTAAATTTAACAGATTTTCTGGGAAGTCAGGGTGGTTACCAGGTTCCACTCCCACCTCCATATCAGCTTACTCACAACACAGGATGTGTCCGAAGGTCTTCTAAGGAAAGCAGCTTATGCTGTGGTGATTATGTCCTTCACAATGACCTGATTAAGTAACTATACTAGAAATGGTATTCGAGGAGCATAGGGGTAGGTGTAACTGAGATGACAAAACCTCTCCTCACTCCCCTCCTGTATCATGGTCTCCGCTTCTTGGAAAGGGGCACTTTTACCATTTTGAGATGTCCTACTGATATGAAAGGCATTATACAAATGCGAATTGTATTGTATGTTTTGTATGGGAAGGAGGACAGTGTTGGCAGTTTGAACTGTAAGGAAAAGTTTACATTGGATTGCCTTTGGGGATTCAGAGAATATACATACTTTTTCCTAGGAGTCAGAATGATAGGACAAAGTTCATAAAAAATGTTTTGGTAAGACAAGTATCTGATACATGTGGAAATGCATCGCTAAGCTTGAATATCAGATGAGAGTTCCTTAATGTACATCACCTCCATGGAAATTTCCCTGTGTTGAGAAAGGAATGAAAGGTTTTGCATTATTGTGGATGGAATGGAGTGGCTTTGATGGGCTGGATGACATTTTCTTGTTCCAAACTTTCTTGTGATCATAATAGTCAACCAAGATCAATTAAGTTGTATCATTAAATGATTCTTTTAAACACATTTTTGCCCCTTCTCAATCTACTTTCAATTCCCAACTTAAAACCTACCTTGTTGACTGTGCCTATGCTCACCTCCCCCGCATCTAGGCATCCACCCCCACTCTGTGAAGCATTCCAAGATATTATTCCAAATGAAGGGTGCTTTATAAATGCAAGTTGTTGTTGGTGTAAATTATATCAATCTCTCGATCGTCACAAAGTTAATCAGTCGGCAATTGGGCTATACAGGTAGGAAGGACCCAGGTTCACTTTGGATCTGTGCGGTTAGCTGATTCAGAGCTGCACTAAGGTGCTACAATTAGCATCAGTAACCTTATGATCCATGGGACAAGGCAGTCAGGATACTTGCTCCTGACACTATCCAGCGATTTCTATTAGAGATATGTGGGTGTCAGATGAGAACAGATACTCGTGAGAATACGATCAAGCTCTGTCATGATGCTTCCTTGGTTGATAGCCAGGGTCCTCTGGTCTAGGACTTATTCCTAAGACTCACAGGGAAGAATGTCAACTTGGATGAAGTGAGTGGCTGGTGGACTGCACTCAGTAGAAAAGGAGTCAAAGACTGCAAGAAACAATATTGTGCGGTGTACTGGTGTCCAAATGTTTTGTTATTTTATGTCTTAACATAAACTGTTTTTGCTTCTTGAATTTGCCGGTCTAATTGTGTTTATTGATGACAAATGCGAGAGTTCCACCTGTATGTTCTTCTCAGCGGTGTATAATTCAACCTAAAGAGAGTTTGTTGAACAAAAGTAATGATTCAAGTCCAAATGTCAGGAATAGAGGACAGTTGAGGATATTTAGAAAGATGCCTATGATCCCTGCATTCAAAATGGTCATTATGTCTACCTGAGAGGTAAAGTATAACCCCAGATTGGGAGATACACCACAGCATTTTCACCTTGTGCAACAGCTTGTCGTACTTGTCAAATCTTGAATTACCAGAGAATGGCAAAGAATTAAGTTACTTCACCAGTTCTGTAAGTCCTTCATAAGAATGCAGTTCAATTGCCTAATAAGTAAACACACTAGTTAGTACAGCAGCACACCAGAAGGTTGTAGGTGTGTATCCTAGCCTAGTTATTTCACTGTAGACAGAGACAACGATTGGGGCGCTACAAATGACCTCGGTTCACATGGGTTAGAGAAGGGGAAAATTAGTCAGGATCCCTGTTCGTTATCCAAACTGAATGGAAGATGTATGGGCCTGGTTGTAGGATAAGGAGTGGATCCGGACTGACTATGATTCCACTCCATCAGGGAGCCGCCCAACACTCTCAAGCTCACACATTAAGACTGGACACATGGGTGAAGCACCAAGGTTGGAAACCTACCCCAGTAAAACTAACCTACCCCAGTAAAACTAAGTATGTCATGCATTTAAAATAAAAATAATGCGTGCATTTTTCTTATGTTAACACTATATGTGGCATACTGGTGTGGTTGGAAATAAGCAATGCAAATCAGGTAACGTGCCTCAGTATGAGTCATTGTCCAGGGGAAGGATGAATTGAGGGAGGATCAGTTTTGAACCTCCCAGATAATATGAGCTCACATGCAGGTGTTAAAATAATCATACGCTTCATTTCTTAGAATAAACTGGAGATGAAGAAAGTACTTGTTTCCAAATGTAAAATGAATTCCCAGAGAACTACGATGTGACACACCTATTTGAGTAATACATTAGACAATTAATTTCAACCAAAAGGTCTTGCATAAATACATTCATTTTAACAAAACATTTTCACGGTTACCTGGGTTGTTATAAATTGTGTGAGGTACATCAAATTACTTTAAATGGTAATGGATCGTGCATCATTGCGTTATTTTTAGAACTGGTGAATATATTGCCACAATAAATGGTAAAAGTTCAAGCAGTGCCCCCTGATGTCTTAGTGGGGAACTGCATGATCAGGTATGACAGGGAGTCTCACCAAACAGGAGGGTTCCAGGTTTGATCTGGGCTCAGTTGCCCAGCTTCAAAATTAAGATTGATTTTAAGAATATTCCACAATTCTGCACTCGTATTTTAAGACAATGGTTTAAAGTCTCACGTTGAGGAATTTCATGGGTTAGGTAAGGTTTTGGATTTGCTGAAATAATCTCTATTGTTAAATAGTCTGCCAGTGCTTACTATCTAGAGTTACCCATGAAGAATGTAGGAGGGTAAGGTATAAGAAGGTTGCTGGTGGTCATATCCAGTATGAGTCACAACCTTGGAGAACAGATTAGGCAGAAAT